GCATGCGCAAAACCAAATTTTGAAATTGGCGTTTGATTTTCCTTTATCCCAAGTGCCTATGTATCAAATTTCGTTTAAATTCTTCCAAAAATAAAAAAGTTGGCACTGCGCATGCGCAAAACCAAATTTTGAAATTGGCGTTTGATTTTCCTTTATCCCAAGTGCCTATGTATCAAATTTCGTTTAAATTCTTCCATAAATAAAAAAGTTGGCACTTCGCATGCGCAAAACCTAATTTTGAAACTGGCGTTTGATTTTCCTTTATCCCAAGTGCCTATGTATCAAATTTCGTTAAAATTCTTCCATAAATAAAAAAGTTGGCACTGCGCATGCGCAAAACCAAATTTTGAAATTGGCGTTTGATTTTCCTTTATCCCAAGTGCCTATGTATCAAATTTCGTTTAAATTCATCCATAAATAAAAAAGTTGGCACTGCGCATGCGCAAAACCAAATTTTGAAATTGGCGTTTGATTTTCCTTTATCCCAAGTGCTTATGTATCAAATTTCGTTTAAATTCTTCCATAAATAAAAAAGTTGGCACTGCGCATGCGCAAAACCAAATTTTGAAATTGGCGTTTGATTATCCTTTATTCCAAGTGCCTATGTATCAAATTTCGTTTAAATTCTTCCATAAATAAAAAAGTTGGCACTGCGCATGCGCAAAACCAAATTTTGAAATTGGCGTTTGATTTTCCTTTATTCAAAGTGCCTATGTATCAAATTTCATTCAAATACTTTTATAAGTAAAAAAGTTTGCAATTCGGTTTATAAATGGTCGAGATGCGAAAAGGGCACTGTGAATTTTGAATCGATTCGACTCAACTTTTTGCATTGCGTATTATTATGGCTAAATCTATGCCCATATTGAATTTCATGCAATTCAGTTCATAACTAACGGAAATGTAAAAGCGATCGAACATTTCTAAATCTCACACGGACAGATAGATGGACAGACAGACAAAGGAACAGACGGAGAGACCAACCGGCAGGCGACAGATAGCAATGCAAAATTATAAACGATCTCTAGGATCGTTAATAAACGGCAAAAGTGTAAAATTATGGAACATGTAAAAAACGGTTTTTTGTTTTTTTTACAATAACTTTTTTTGTAAGCGGTACAGAAAAAATTCCTTCCTTGGTACAAGACTCGACACCATAACGAACCAAATAGCGAAAAAAGTAGAACAATAGCTCTTAAGATAAAGAACTAGTAGCGTCGCAAAGTTAGCGGACGGACGGACGGACGGACGGAGAAAGTGGCCACAATAGCGCATTTTTTTTTATTTTTGTGGAAATGCGCTAAAAAGAAACAAGAAAAAATCGTCAAGGGATTAAAATGCAACAACACAAAAGAATTTCTATTAGAACTGCTAGAAAAGAGAGGATGGAATGGAGTATGATGAACGGAAACATATTGTGTGATAGCAGGAACAGTACACATACATGGGGAAGGTCGGTAATAGATTTCATCAGAGTTTAAAAAAGGAATGAATAAAGAATGCATTAAAGAATTCATGGAACAAAGACGGAATGAGTCCGGTGGAGATAATTTTAAAAAAGGAAATTTAAAAAAGCAAATATTTTAGCGACACAAAGACGAAGAAACAAGTAAAATAAATAGGAAAGAAAAGAAAAAAGAAGAAGAAAGAAGAGTAGGACTTTAGAGAACAAAAGAGAAGAACAAAGAAGCAAGTATTTAAAAAAAACAGAAATTAACAGATTCAAAACAGAGGATTTTGACTGTTTATAAATAGAGAAACGAGAAAATATACTGCAAAACAGGGTGAAATTAAAATACGGGATGGAAAGAAGTAGGTGAGTAGTAGAGAGATTTGTTTGTGTCTGTTCGCAACTTTTCTTTGGTAATAGTTCTAATTTTTGGATCATTACAAAGACCACAAATAATGACCGGACGTCCTGTAGGTATATAAGAATATTTCAATTTATTAAGTAAATCTAGGGGACTGTTTACGAAATAAACACTTACTCAAATTGGATGGGTTGCTGGAGGTGGACACATCTGGTCAAGTTTGCGTGTTTTGTGAGGGGTTGCATCTGGTTGTTGCGGAAACGAGCTTTTTGTTAGGCAAAATTTAATTAAAGCACCTATAGTGGTTCTGATAAGAAGATGGAGGTGTTTTACGAAGATGTGCGCATTTCATGTTGGAGAAGTGGGGACGTTTGGTGCGTTCCGTTCCGTTTGAAAATTCATAAAGAATGAGTGGAAGTGATGGTTCCTTAAATACTGGAGATAATGAGAAGACGGGCTTTTTTCTTTCGCGGCGGTTTGAGGGTGTGGAATTTTTACGCTAATTTTTTCGGGTAGTCGGCCTGTGTATGTGAACACGTATTTCGTCAGTATTGTAATAAAGTGTGTAGAAGAAGTTAAGCAACTTAATAAAAGATATAAGATATTACATCGTCAAATGAAGTAGTAAAAAGCTCGAGAGAAGTTTTTAAGGCGTTTTGTCCGTTAACGGAACAAGTTGTTGTTACTAAAAGTTGAGTAAACCAAGTAGTGGTTGCATAGTAAAGCCCTTCCCCAAGGTTTGTCATTTATTAAAAGTGTTCTACCGTCCTGAAAGTCACCCAATTTTGTCTTCAAATTCAACAAGCCAGATTTTGTCATCAGGTTCAGGGTTATCAAGAACAAGTGAAGTTTCCTAAAACTGTCAGTGAGTGTTTTTTTGCTGTGAGACCACCTAGTATCGCAAACCTTTACGACCAAATTGATTGGATTATTTCATAACTCTAAGTAATCAACATAATTTATTTATTGGTCTCTCGAACGCCTGCGTGCGTGGCATGTGTAAAAAAAAATCTAAATGTTTTTCTTTTTTCCAGCATTGTTGTTTTAATTTTTGTTTTTTGTTTTGCGGAATAACATTTCAGAGGTTCGACCCTATATATACAACCTACGATGATGCACACATTTTTGAGAGCTGGCAACAACGCCATTTTTAGATCAGGAAAGCGGTTTGCATTTCTTTTTTATTTATTATATTTATATTTATTTTCATTTTTTTTTAGTGGTTTGAATGCAATATTTTATATTTTTTGTAATTAGTTATATTAGTTACGACACCTAACGCCGGGACTGACGGCGCCTCCCAACTGTAGGCTTAAATTCCCTAGACGAAGGGTAAGTTACCTATATCGGGGGCGAGATCCTGCTAATAAAAACCTTTTATAATTTTCCATTGGCAGCAGAGTTATTCACTCAATCTAATATTTATACAACAGATTTGTACATTAAGGCAAAAGAATTGGTTATCTAAGTGTCTATTTTTCCCTTTGGAATTGTTGTAATTGCGTATAGTTTATTTAGATTTGTTTATTTAACATTAAAAACGTGAAATTACGTGTTAAAATGTAGGCACATCTGGTCGTTTGTGATAAAAGGTTTTGTCATTGAATTAACGCGCGTGTTTTTGTCACTGTTAGAAGAAATAACGGGTTATGCAGATATTCCACGAAGTGCGCATTAATTCGGCGTAAGTGGGAACGCGTTCTGTCGAAGCTGGCGTTATCAAGGCGGATTATAACTGGCTCTTTATTTGTAAAAACCTGGAAGAAGGAAATTTATTTGATTATGGAGGTGGTGCTTTGTTAAATACTGGAGACAACAAAAAAAACTGGTTGTTTCGCAACGGTTGGAAAAGAGTGTATATCTCTTTACGCTATTTTTATTCAGGTAGTTCAGACTATCTGATTAATTGAAGAGGTAGTTTGTCATTATTATAATGCAGAAGCAAAATAAATAAAGTGTGCAAAAGAAGCAGAAGGACAGGACGCTGTGCAGCGCTGCTAAACCATGCTAAACAGACCAGTACGAAGGGGCAGTTACGAGTATTTACTTTGAATTTTGCAAGTATAAGCATTTGCTTGCTTTTATTCATACGCGCCAATGAGTCTAGGTTATTAAAGACTAGGTGAAGTTTCCTGACGCTGTCCACGAGTATTTGTGTGTATCTTTGTTTATGTGCGCCTGTTTATCGCAAACCTATTTAAGATCAGATTATTTAAATGTCCAAACAGACAGTGTAGTGTTTTTGTCTTTGTCAATCAATTAATTGTGTGCTTATTCGAACCCACTGTGCGACCCGGAGAGAGTTTTCAAGTCAGATTTATTTTCTGGTGCCAAAGATTGCTGTAAGACGTTAATGAGTCAATCCTCTGCAATTTTTAGTAGTTGATTGAGGCTACTGTGTCTTCCAATTATTAATTTCAGTCAATATTGGGATTTCTCTTTGTGGCAGATGCCGTAAGTATACGGGAAGAGATCATGAAAAACTCTAAGTTTCAATTTTGTTTTGATTGAGGTAGCTGGACAGGCGTTTAGTGAATGGTGTAGTTTACCGCATCCCAATTGAACACAGAATTATTTATTTGGCGCCCAACGTGGGGCCACAGCAATATGATCACTGGCATTCGCAAAGGATACAGAAATAATGACCACAGAGGAACAGAACGTATGCGATGATACGAGGAGTAGCGATACATGGAAATGAAATGCGGAGAATGAGAAAACAAGAAAGGAATGCTGATGTAAAACATGAGGAAAGGGGGAAGAAAACATGTAGTGAATGTAGAGAAGTAAGAGAAGAAAGGAGAGGGAAAAAAATACGAAAAGAAAGCCAACAAGGGAAGGAGTTCAAGATACTAAAACCCCAAGTTAAGATCCGTTTGATTTCATAAAAGAAATTTACTCGGATAGTACTGACCGCTAACACCGTACTGTAATAGAAATTTGCGTACGATGATACAAAAGGGTGGTTATCTCCTAAAATGACGTAGACAAATTACCGATAAAAGATAAACACGAAATTCTGTTTTACAACCACTCATGATCCATTATGCACTATTAACAAAACAGAAGAATTAAACTCATAGTAATTAGGCAGGCGCTGCTGATCCCACTTCCCTTTTTTTTACAAAAACAAAATATCCATTTGCGTAAAGAGCTCCCGTATTAACCAAGAAGACCTACAACATGAAAGTTGTGTGTTAGTGGAACAAATTTCATACGTCGGTCTAGGTGCGGTTCGTATGATTAATGTGTGCATATCCAGACCGTCGAGACGCCGAAGAAGCGCACCATCTTGTACTCGCCGATTTAGAGAAAATGGATGAAAAAGGGGACCGGTCCAGGCCGAAGGAGCCCGTGGGAATTTTACGCATCACGGACGGTTCGACGAAACCTCGACGCAGCCAGTCGGAGGTTCGACTTTTATTGCAGGTAAATATGACAAATTAGACAATTTTTAATCATCCATCCCTCGGCGCTCTTTATTTTAATTTAAATTAATTCCAAAGCTTCCATGATTCGTGCGCGTAATTACATTCGCATTTGCGGTACATTAAGGTGCGGCTGTACTTTTCAATTAGACTCAATCAACGTGTTTCGGGGAAGTCGCCGCGGTGATCAAATAAAAAAGAGCGTCGTCATGTGGGTCGAGTTTAATGCATATTAATTTTTGTACCAAAAGGTCGCAGCGGAGATGTTATTAATAGATTACTCGGGAATAGAAATCTGACTTCGTGACCAATGCAATTTTATTAATTAAAGCTCAACGTGCTGTCTAATAAATTAAGAGGATTAAAGTCTCGGCTACAAATTTAATAAGTGCTCGCATCTTCACCTGTAGGCAGCGAGGTTCGATCAGCAAGGGAGGATGGGGTATCGTGGAAAAACGGATTACGCTTTTATTTTAATTTGCAGCATAAGTTCATTTACCTAATTAATGCGCGTGTACTGCGAAAAATAATCTATTCCATCTTCATTAAGTGTACCTAATTATCTGATCGTAGTTGCGACCAAGAGAAATTGAGTTGAGCAATATATGTCGTTTTCTCCATCTAGGATGAACCTCAGTATCAACTATTTTTGGATTCAACCATTGAATAAAAAGTGTTTTTATTCAATGATTCAACTCAGTTAGAAGAATTTCACTCGTCTATTTTCGATTTGTAACTGGGGGCTAGGTATCTATCCGTTGGATCACGAAAATTAACACTGTCATTAAAAGCACTAACGACCGGGCGAGTGTCGATCGTTAGTGCATTTCCGCACTTCCAAAATATAGATTTTCCCTTCATCGCGGCGTAAGCTAATTAGTTTCAAGATAAGCACGTGTTTACGCCGAGTTAAGCAGATGCTTTTGCGCGTAAAGTAAACAGGCGCAGATTATTGAAAGACGTCGCAGTATGCTGATAAAGAAGTTGAGGAGACCGGACCGAACCGGACTGGAATCGAGCTTCTCTGGTAGTGGACTTTTGAAACGTAGCGGTATTTGAGGGTGTTGGTTTGCAAAACAGTCAGCCTTGTCTAATTGTGAAGTTTAAAAGAAGCAGTAAAAAATAACAAATTATTCATTTCAAAGTTTACAAAGAGGAAGAAAAAGCAAACGCGTTCAAATAAAACAAAAATATATACAAAGTGTCCATAAATATGATGTAAATATAGAAGCAGCTAATTCTTTAGCTTATTTTATAACTAAAAGTTCATATAAACATAGGTCTGCAAACGCTTCGTTACCGATCTACAGGGTGTTAAAATTCCAAGATTTTTAAGTTTTTTCTCCTGCAGTTTTTGAGATATTTGGCTCAAATTTGAAATATACTATAATAGTGTTACGCTCAAGGGCTTACATCCATTGGTCATGTCAATGGTAGTGAGAATATACAGGGTGTTGTTTTTTCAGGGGCTATGTCCCATTTTCTACCCCTGAACTTTTTTTTCGGTACGTCACTGGTAGAATTTGAAAAAGGAATTTTCTATATTGTTTAAAAACTATTTGGTCTCTCGTAATTTTTACGTATTTGTGACCGTTATAGAAAAAAAATAAAAATCAATTTTCGGTAGTTGGCTAAATGAAAGTATAATTTTTAAAGTCCAGTAGGCCTTGGCTTTATTTAGATATCTTTTTATCAGTTTTGACGGTTGGCATTGCAAAATTGTATCTTGTGTTTGCATATGTTTATCAGTGAAAGGTTTAAATTGTAAAGTGTACGGTAGAACTACATATAACACCCCGGTAACGAAAGGTTTGTAGACCTATGTTTATATGAACCTTTAGTCATAAAACAAGCCAAAGAATTAGCCCCTCCGTGTTTACATCATATTTAGGAACACCATGTATATGAAATTAAACTCAAAAATTTTTATAAGGTCTGAAACATGTTCCCAATATCTTCCTAAACTTAAAAACCTTAAGAAATAGAAAGACGATGGGACAAGAACCCATTTTACTTTAGCCCAGACAACAACCACTCACAAGGTCAGTCCTTAGTTATGTAACTGGGAAATTACCTTCACCAAGGCTACGATTTTTTCACCAGATAAATCTTATTCGCCAAGACCACGAGTTCGCACTACAAAACAAGGCCACGACTTTCTTCGCCGGAAAGTTTCACAGCACACCCTTGCACCGGGGAATCCCCTCACCAAGACCACGGCCTCGTGATGTCACAAAATCCAAGATGGCGTCTAGTGGCTCTTTTCCTCAATTAAATTGGGGTTCAGATCAAATTTTGCGTCTCTCTGGTCCAAAATTATCGTTAAAATTAAACAACGGAATTTAAGAATAAAAAAAATGTGCTTGTTTTATCCATCCGGGCCCACTTCTGCCGTTTTGAACTACTTCTAGGGGATGGTCATAGAGTCCAAAATTTTTTTTGCAATCGGTGGCCTATACCTTGAAGGTGATGCTGTTTTTGAAAGTAAAACCTGCGTAACTTTTACATACGACCACCAATTGCATTGCTTTTAGTGGTGTCAAGTAATTTGGAAGGGGGGGGGGGGGGTAAACGCACGTTCTACCCTTTATGGTCCCAACGAAATAAATTGGTTTGTACAAACTATAACGTTCCCGTGCGGCCCTTTTTCAAAATCAATGGGTTACGGGGCGGGGGGTGGTGGAGGGGGTGAAATTTTATCTTTCATGGTATTCTACTGCACTTCTTTCTGGTCATCAAAAGTGGGGGGGGGGGGGACAACTGGTTACTCTAATGAAAGGTGCTAACGAAAGGAATTAATTTTGACAAACCATACTCTTCCTCCTCGATTCCTTATTGAGATCGGATATATTCCCTTATATCTCCAGAACGGATTGTCGGAAGAGGGTACTCACAAAGGGCGTCGGGAATAATCCATTGGTGATGTCAAATGCGCTTTATCCGCGCAAGAGTTCTGCACAATTTATACTTGTTTGTGGTATTTTGGTAATTATTACGTCCACAACCCCAACTGTTCCAGTGTCTCGAGTGAAGATTCTAGATAGGACATTTTGACATCTTGAAGACATTCACATCTTAAGCATACAATAAGGTCCTCACAATTTGAGGTTCATTTTTTGCAGTTTAGTTCAATAGAGCAGAGAAAATACACAAATAAAATTGAATGGACAGTTATAGACGATGTGGTGGATGGTATAAAACGTAATAATCAACTAATCCTAATAAAGTGTACTGAAATTATGTTACGACAGCTTGATTGATTTGTTTGCTCCCGATCTCGACGAGACTTATTGACAATATTACCTACCTTTCGAGGAATCGCATCCGACTAAAGAAAGAGATGACATCAACCCCCCATTAAATTGCTAATTCTAATCGAAAAAGGCGACTAAACGAAATTTTCAACCATAAAAGACGAAATCGCGTGGCGAGCGTGAGAAATAGTGCTCTTACTTGAATTAACAGAAACGCCTAAAATACTAATGAGGGAAAACAAGTGGAGATCCTTTCGTGCGATGCCGCGTTCTCCCTTCAGCTCCACGAGGCACGGCTGCAAGGAAAAGAAAGGCAAAACGTATGTAAAAAATCACGGCGTTCTGAATTAATTGGCCGGGTACTCGAGAGGAGTGGTCGGATTGACTAAATGCGTGCTTTGAAGGTTTTCCAGGAGTTTTTCCCATTAAATTATAGCCCTTTTCAATTCAGCCCCGCTTCTTTAATTTATCAAAGATCGAATGCGAGTCAAATGTAAACACTTGTTACTTGTTCTTTGATAAGAAAGCAACGCGTGTGCAATAAACGGTGGTCACTTCTTTTTAGACGTAATTTAGATGTGAATGCTGTTATCACAGTGATGATGTTTTCAACTGAAGTGTTTGATTAAAGTGGTGCATTAAGATGCCTTGTTCGTTAGGGAGGTTTATTTTAATAAGGTGAGCGGTTTTCCATTATTTTTACTTTTGAACTAAAGTTGCGATTCATATAGATGTTCATCTCATTTTGGAAATTATCCATATCTCTCAATACCCTTATTCTCCAAAATCGTACTTAATCATAATCTTCAACAATTTCAACTGGTCCCATATTTTCTTCAATTTCTCCTATATCAGAAGGAATCTTCATTTAATATATCAAAGAACAACTACAGTAAACGAAAAATATTCTACCAGATATCAAAATATACAGCGAAGAAATAATACTCTGAATGTTAAAACAGAAAATGAGTTGAGAAAATTATGAGGAGAGCGAATAGTCAATTTCTGTGAGAACAGAGGACTGAGTTTCTGCCTAAATTGGATACCAACCCTCGCCTTCGCCAAAATATTCCCTTCGTTCTAAAATTTGGATCCTTCATTAATTCAACGTGTTAGATATAATTATGGAAAATCAAATTAGTTGGTAGAAGGGATTAAAACAAACACTTTTTCGAAATGAACCGCGAGTCCAACGTTCGTTTCGGAGCTATCCTCAAAAAAGTGCTGAAATTTGCATTTCTTCTTTAATTTTGTTCCTCAGCAACCATAAGAATTACAAAGACTGGTGACCCGTCTTTAAATAGGTTTTGGGATATGCCCTTTCCGATTTCGCAATTTTTTTTCAAAATTCCTACCACGAAATGGCGCACCCCTAAAGGGGGGCGAAAAAATTCTGATTTCGACGAAATTCGGTATCTGGCGGTTTTTGAACATGAAAATCGTCTGAGTCTGAAATTAGTTTTTTAAAATTAGAAAAAAAATCCCACTGCAATTTTTGACCGGACAACAAACATGGGGAGAACTCCACGAAATTTGTTAAATTACTCTTCAAACAAAAGTCATACCTACTACACATATGAAAATTCGTCCTTCGGGTCAGAAAGTATCCCCCGCCTACAAGTGATTTATCTAATTTCGCATTTTTTTTATATAATAATAATAATTTATTTCAGACTTCTAATCAGGGTGTAAACGGAACTAGGGAACGCGATTTTTCTCGGAAGTTATTAGAGATACAAAAAAATCT